TTGCGCCTTCAGAGCTGTCATTTTTTTTTTTGTTGTTTTCACGGGAAGGATATGCATAAATTCCGTGGTGTCTTCATGAGATCCGCAAAGGCAGGGAAGGGGCTCACACTTTCTGTTTCCTTGTGCAAATCGGGGTGTGTGTGATGCATTCGCAGCAGATGTTGGTCATTTGGTGTAAGCCCGTGACTTTATTTGAGGAGGAGGCGTAAGGAGGATGTAAGTCCCCGTACGGGCAGGGAGGAAGCTTACTCAGTCCCTCCTTTGCCCCGCGGTCGCCAGATTTAAAGGTATAAAGTGCATCCCTCTCCCCTGCCCGTGCCCGGGCAGGCTGGTTGGCAGCGGGACGCAGGCAGCTGGGCGCAGCTGGACACAGCTGGGCGCAGCTGGCCCCGGCACCTCCCGGGAGCAAGGGGTGGCCTCCCCCGTGTGTGTGCCAGCTCAGGGATGAGATGTTGGCTCCCCGTCGTATTACAGATTTTCACAACTTGCTGGTAACTTTCCCTCTCGTTCAGCCTCGATCTGAGTCGAGTTTCTGCTGCCATGCTCTGGCCTCTGCAGGCTTACGAGGTGTACAGAAGTTTAAAATTCTGTGGTTGCAGATGTGCAAAAATACATGTGAAAACGAATGTGTGAGGGGAAATTAGCATTAGATGCCGATTTTTCTTAATATGTGCTCCTTCCTGTCAGGTAGCTGCTAAAATGATTCACAACTTAGTCACTAGGGTTTGTTTTTGAGCAAAAAAAAAAAAAAAAGCCCCTCCAGTTTATGATAGATTTAAAATGTATTAACATAAACTGATGATTTAATACTAAATTAAAGAAAATAAGTATATTTAGTCATAGATATGTATGTCCTTAACAACACTTTAAAATACACCTTCAGTGTATTTCTGTCAGATCATTTGGTAATATCTCTACTTCTTTGGGATCAGAGAGACTTCTTGTGCCGTATAGGGCTGCTCATTTTGGCTAAGGGTATTGGAATACGGTTTGTTTTCCAAGCCTGTCATCCCATCCATTACTGTATGAAGCAGGAAGAATGTCCTTAAGTGTACTACTAGTATCTTCTGCCACTCTCAGTGTTACGCTTGCCTTTCTCCTGAAGGAAGCTCATGCCGTTTGCTTATTTTTGACTGGCTACATGGGTAAGCAAAGTCCATTTTCCATGGGATGTTTTACTTGCAGAAGTACAAGTAATGCAGAATTGTGAATGTTCAAGGTGTCTCATTTTATGGTTATTAGTGGCACTGCAGGTAAATCCCCTATGTTCTAAAATGGACTGTGTGCAATTCCAGATTATGGGATAAACCTTAAATCAGCTGTGTTCTCATAGTCAGGTTCACTAGGACAATGATTGTGAAAGCGTGCCCCTCTTTAACTAGAGAGTAACTTCTCTTTTTAAAGGTTGAGCAAGTAATGAAACATGCATATAACGTGTAATGCAGTGTTTCTTAAACAGTGTTATCTTCTACTGATATGGAATATGCTTGAAGACAGTTCTGAAGACAGTTCATTAAATAGATAGATAGACTTTATTATATTGGTCTGATTGGTCACCAAGGCGAGATACTTCAGAGTGGAGGTTGACGCTGTCAGCCACAAGTTGCTGTCATGCTACAGCAGCTGTTTCATTTACATCAGCGAGGATTTGCAGTAATTCTAGAAGATACAAAGTAGCCCAAATTTATTTCACGGTTGTTTACACAATGAAGAATTTTCTGGAGTAAATTCAGCTTTTTATGTGTTAGGTGATTTACTATTACTTCAAGTGAAAGTTGATTACAACAGTACTGTTAAAAGGGAGAGGAGGATGTGAACGCCTCTGTGTTCGTAGCAGAACTTTAGCACAAAGTGCCTAGGACCTTCGTTTAGCTCAGGAGAACATAATTTAACGTTGTTTTAACGTACGGTCTGTAAAGCTCACTGCGGATGTAAATTCTCAGTATGGGAGACTACCACATTTCAAATGCTACAGCACTTTAGGTGCTGGCAACGTATTTTGTTTCTAAATTTTGTCTGCTGGCAGCTGTGTCGCTGTTAAAGCGTCTACTGGATAACGTTTAACCCAGCGTGAACTGGAGACGTTGCTGAAGTGCTTTCAGACTGAGTATGAGCCTGGTTCTATTTTGGTAATTTTCCCTTAGATGATACAGTCTATGCATCTCAAAAATATATGCAGGAAAATGTATGTAATAAATATATTTACAACCATTATGGAAAACATTTAGGGAATAAAATATTTTCGGTATTAATTGCATTCTGGTTATTGAATTTAGGGAGTTGTGCAGCATCCTCCCATGCCCTCAAGTTAGCGGGATTTGGATAATTTGCGTTCAGACCTTGCACCTAACACGATTGCTTAAAGCTGTACGTTTTCGGTAGGTGGCAGTCTTACCTATGAGTCAGTGCAGTGTCGGTGCTGCAGCGCGTTGGGATGGAGGGAATGAGGGACAGCGTTGCTAACAATGCTGGGTTGGTTTTGAAGTGTGTAACGGTGATTTATTAGGGGCTTTTGCAATCATAGCCCTTCATGAAAATTATTGCATGTTGATATTTTTGTTACTTTAGCTTAATTAATGTCCCATTGCAGGTCGTTGAAGTTTAGTCTGCTATATACTTTACCAAATATCAATACTTTATATATATACAGCAGTGTTGTTGCTGTAGCTCTTACTAAGAGCCAGGACCCAATGGTTTTAAGAGCTTACAGACACAGGAAAACAACAGGTTCCTTCCAACCCAAACCATTCTATGAGTCTGTCATTCCCTAGAAATCTTACGGTTTCTCATCTTTTCCATTTTCTTGGTGGAATGGCTGGTGATCAAAAGTTCTGTTTGCAAGCTAAGTGAACTTACTGTTATTGGCAGTATTTCAGAGCATGCTTATTTAACAGATAAAGAGATTTCTGTATATTACTGTCATATATACTCCTGAGATGCAAGACATTCTACATGGTAGAATGTTATACCCAACAGCTTTGACATATTTATGATCAACAGCTATGGTTGAACTCAGTTGAACATTGCCATGGCACCTAAATGGAAACACTGCAAAAGGTAATGGAAACATATGGAGATATAAGCAGATTTTAGACATAACACCTTAAGTTGTGCTTGCAGCGTTTTAGCTTCTCTGTCACATTTGTGTGACCCTGTTGGCCAATATTGCAACTCATAACTTTATGATACCTCATCAGATGTTTAGTGCTCATCAACTGCAGCTTACTGTATATATGTATATATGTGGGGCTTTTTTTTGTTTGTTTGTTTGGTTTTTTTTTTAAGGTTAGCATATCAAAACTTACAAATACAAGATTGTCGAAGAGAATAAGACACCTGGGGTTTTTTGGACAGGTGCATACAAAAGTTTCAGGAAGTCTTGAGGAAATAAACTCCAGAATTCCGTGCATGAGAGTCTTTTATTATCAAGAGGAGGCAAAAGGAGTCTATTAGGCCATTACTGTAGAACATGAGCAGCTGCTGGGCAAAGGCTTGAAAGTTAACACTTAATTCTCAGTTTAGTACAGGAAATTTGGAACATACAAGTGCAGAATTTGCCTTACAAACATACTGAAGTTTAGTCTAGGTTCATAATTTGGAGTTTATTGTAATTTTTCTTAGGTCTGTTTCATCACAGATGTAAACAAATTGAAGCTCTTAAATTGCATATTTAAGTATTAGATATAGGTGTCCCATAGATTTTTCACAGGTACAGTTTATTTTCTTTGGCAAGCAGAGAGATAATTGCTTCTTTTTGTTGTGAAGAAGAGGAAAGATCACTGGTGCTTGTGTCATAAATGACTTAAAATGAGAGTTAGCCTTGATGTAATTATGTCTTTTCTATGTTGCATTGCAGAGATGGTGAACTGAGTTTGAGTAGATCAATGATCAATAGCTCTGATAAGATAATTCGAAAGGGTGGCTCCTCAATCTTCCAGCATGCAGTAGAAGGTTGGAAAATCAATTCTTCTTTGGTACTGGAAATAAGGTGAGTGTCTTAAATACAAAGCAGTTAATTTCACATAACCTATAATTAATTTCATATTGCCTGTTATTCTTCTGGTCTGGAAAACAGTCATTTGATTTACGGTTGCGGGAGGATGTTTTATCACTGTACATATTTAGAGTTCAGTGTTAAATGCAACCAAATACATTAGACTCTAAAGTCAAACCATCCTTCGTAAGAATAAATAAAATGTTTTCATGTGTCGGTGTCAGTCAGACCCATGCAGTCAGTATCTACATTATGGATGTCCACATCTGAGCTGGTTATGTAGAACTGTCTTGCAGTCAGTGGTGAGAAACTGGCGCTTTTATGAAGATTTCCTCTCATCGTAAAGATCTGAAGTAGAACAGATGGGAGTACCTCGAACATGCACATTTTTTTCTCTTACCTGCAAAGGGAGTTCAGGCAGACAACTTAGATGTAGGAGTCAAGAGCTAGGACATCAGGTGCTGTGGATCCAACCCCGTCTGTGGCTGGTCCAAGTCACGAGGTCTGACAATACCTACATCTTTGGCAGTTTTCTTTACTAAAGTCAGAGAAGCCAGAAAGAGCCCTGAAAGGAGGGAAACACGGTAACAGAGTTAAAGTGAGTGACACTTCTGTTGTGTCTTTGTAGTTATGGTGAGTCTGCTTATCTTGGGCCCTGAGAGAAGAGAAGAGAAAGCGGAAGCCTCTTAGTGTGTTGTATTGTCATCACATTTTCCCTTCTCTTAATCAGGAAGGTGGCCTGTGAAAGTGGTGTGTGAGCCATGGGTTGGCAGTGTGGAGGGCAAGGAGTGTCACATTCTGTGAAAAATTATAGAAATGATAGAAAATAACTAATTCAAAAGCAATCACATTGTAAAGACAACTTTGATTTTCTGAATATTACGGTTTTTAATAGAAACTTTATCTATTTAAAATGTGATTTCTATCTTATTTCCCTCTCTGTTTTTACAAAACCCTTAAATGGGAAATGTTTCTTTTTTACTGAAGCCTGGCTTCTCTGAATGAGGAACTTCTGTATATTTTTTTTAAATGACTATTATTTTATGTCCATAATTCTGAAACGTGCAGAAGCTATGGGCAGCTCTGAAACGTATGAAGCTGTAGAAAAGGACTGATGTTCTGGAAATCTTGTGCTATGATAGACATAGTGCAGCCTCACTGTGAAAGCTGAGGAACAGTGTCAGGGATGGAAGGAATGGCAAGATTTGGGTAGGCCCTAAAATAATACTCTGGAGCCTGTAGCTGCTGTCTGGCAAGTGCTCTATGGAGCCCCCACTCCCTGAGTGACTAGACTAAGGGACCCTCAGGCACTCAGCTGCTCACCAGGCCACCTGAGTTTCCTACGGGTGAAGGTATGGCGGTCACCTTAAAATACAGCTCAACAGGACCATCTGTTCAGATGCAGCCTTTTTGATCGGTGTATAGTAGTTCTGTAGAGACTACCTCCTGCTCCAAGGTAGTGTGGGAAAGAAAAGCAGATTTTCTGTACCTGTAAGAGTATTTAAAATTTATATGCATATATCTGACAATTTAATTTGGAGAAATATTGAGTAACTTCAGAGGAAATTCAGATCATAAGTTATGGCTCTGACAATTAGGAGAAAATGGCACACTGTTTTACCTGTGAAATAAACTGATTTGGAAGCCAGAGTGTAAGTAGAGTCAGATAACTCTTTTCTGACATTTTGTTGAAAAAATAATTGTCGTATTTCAGAACCAACACACCCTGCAGCTCAAGCCAAACAACAAACAAGTCAAGTATTAAAACAAATTTTTGATTAAAATTAAGAGAGAAAATGGAGTATGAGTTATGCTCATTTTTTCACCTGTTTCAAAAGCAAAATACATCATTCAGACAAAGAGGTAAAATGGTAGAGAACACTTTAGATTTTTCTAAGCCTGTTACTTTATGTGTATTGTTTAAATCTACTAAAATTGTGAGTTTCAAAATCAGTTTCTCCCTTACTGTTGGTGGGCAGGGGAAAGTTCTCTCATTTTACAAATTGCTAATGTGTTGTTAAGAAGCATTGTTATGTGATTATGCGGTGAGTTTTAAAAATTGTCCAGACAACTTTGTTTTGGTCTCAGTGGTACGGTGAAGAAAAAAAATGTACCTTGCACACTGGTTTAAGCACTAAAGGTTCTACTTTATCAGTGTAAAGATTTTCTGTACAGCACAGAGCAGCAAGCTGAGGTTATTTAGATGTCCACGTCACTAATCTTGTTTTGAGATGACAAAGCGGGTCAGAGAGCAGGTATCTTCACTGAAACAGTAAAAGATTTTAGATTAATGTGATTTAGGGCCAAAATCTGACATAAACTCTATGAAAGGAATCAGTGCTACCAGCCAGTCATATTCTTTCCAGAAATCCTCTTTGCTGTCATGCACAGTATATTCAGTTACGGTATTGAGCGGTGAGACGGGGAAGTTTGGCATTCTTTCCTGAGGATGCCACACGCAGCCCCTGGTGATATGTTTTCCACTCTGATGCTGACTAAACAATGTGCATTCTTCTTTCACTTTTACAGGCGGTTTGCTATACACCTTTCTTCCCTGTCACAGCAGTAAGAAGCACCTTAGTCGTAAATATTTTTATACTCATGGACCTGTCAGAACTAACTTCAAATGTCTCTAGCATAATCTCCTAGAATGTTCTCATGGTTAAACTAACTGTTCAGCCCTCCAAACTACGTTACATGCACTTTGTAGACTGTGAAGATGATTCATACTGTTATTACTGCAACTGTTATCATGAACAGTGATGGTCTTGTGGTGTGAGGTGGACCATAGCAAAGAATGTTAAGAAAGAAAAATAGTATGTTGAATAATATATAAAAAACTATCAGTTCTTAGCAGAGGAGAAATAATTTGTGAAACCATTAGTGTACAGCGTAAAGGCATTTCATAAAACTTCTGATCGCCCATAAATGGCAGCTGCTTTTGTGTCTTATATCAGCTTGACACCCACATTAGCAGTTTTAAAGCACAGAAAATATTTGGTAGTGAGTTTTGCTTTGTGCAAGGGCTGTTGATCAATGGTATGTCTGTAGTTGGTTGGCTGGCACCTGGAATATTGTGCTTTGCTATTTGCTTTGTTGACTACGGGCATCATCTCTTGCTATCTTGTTTTTCCTCAGGTTAGTGACTAGTCTATGATCAGCCTCAAAGGTCCTATGAATTCTTGGCAAGGCCAGGCTCAGATAGGAGTCAACAAGTGGAAAATCCTCTTTATCAGGACCCCATGGGAGAATGAAAAGTTTACACTGGGTTTTGGGTCTCACAAGATGCTCTCTGTGACTTTGCATCCAGAAGAGGCAGTCTAGGGAGGGCAGCAGCCCTTTGGGAGGGCAGCAGCTCTTTGGAGATGTTAAGCAGTCATTAGAACAAAACTAGACTTTCTGTGATTGAGGTGAGAATGAGAGATATCCCTCATTTTAATTACTTAAGACTTCCGGGACAGTCATGTTCGCTCTAGTGGAATATTTCTCCAACTGATGTTACCTTCTGATTGCTGACAACTTCTCTGAAGAATAGTTGGTAATTCCAGTGCTTAAGGGAGGAAGACTTCTTGTTTGGCTTGTTTGACTTCAGTAATGAAGAGAGGAATCCACTGTCTGTAAGGTTTTGTGTCTTAAAGTTCTTTCTACTTTAGCAATGTGAAGGTTTTCCAGTTATGAAAATTAGGAAATTTCAGTTGTCTTGAAGGCCATACTTTCAGGAGAGATGTGGGTAAGATGATACAAACCTGTCTGGGGAAGCCTTCCACAAAGGAGTGATGCCAGCGCATCTGTGACCAGTGTGAAATGAAGTAGTGTCTGACATCTCCGTGTGTGACTTCTTCAACTTATTTTTGACTAAATGTGGGCATTTATGTTGGAAGAAACAGATGAAGACTTTGAATTGCAGGAAATTCAAATGAAAAAAAAGTGTTGAGGATGTAGTTATCTCTTTGCAATATAACAGAGAACTTGATGAGTGGAAATTTCCTGTCAGAAAAGTGTGTGAACTTGTAAGATGTTAACAGCATCATTAAAAAAAAAAAAAGGCACAACTTCCTCCTTTGAAAGGTTCAGATTATTATCATTGCTTATCTTTCATTTTGGTATGAAACAGCTATGGTAAGTCCCAGAAGTGCAAGCAGTAGATACTGAACTGGCAATGGAGCAGTACAACTGCTCTGAAGCTTTGGGAGCAATATTTTGGCGCCAGTTGCAACATTTCCTTCTGATCTTGTGTGTCTCTTAAGACGTGAAACTGGGGTTCTCTAGCCTGGTTTAGTCATAATAAACCTTAAGAGGTTTTTACCTCCTTAGACCCTTGCATCAACCGAAAAGTCAGTGGTCACTGTCAGTTGGGGTGATTAACTCCTTTGACTCCTTTTTTTTTTGACTCTAACTTGCTTAACTTTGTGAAAAGCTGACATATGGCTGGCCTTCATATGGTAACTAGTAGTTAGGTCATGCTCTGTTTAAAAACCCTCTTTTCCTTTTGCGTGCCCACTGAAGATTTCTGCCCAATTGGTGTGTGCTTTAGCTACTGAAGTGTGACCTTTCTGATCACAGGGAGGGGGTGTCCTGAAGGGCATGAGACAGGCTAGAGTGGGAGCAGAGCCAGACAGCAAATTCCTGGAATATGGCACTTCTGTTTGTGTGGTCCTTCACAGGCTGGGAAATACCAGGAAACGTTTCCATGGTTAGTTGCAGTTAGGTGTGTTTTACAAATCCAGATTGGGGCTTGGACTAGATGACTTTTAAAGCCCCTTTCCAACACAAACTATCTGTGAGTCGATTCTAAATGCTGCTTTCCTTGAATAGGTTTTCTTAAAACTCCCTTTCAGTCAGACTGAAGCTAAACCCAACAGAGGTGCAAACACTCAGGGTCCCCACTGTTTCCTAGGAGGCCAATAGGAGCTCTAACGATAGCCATCTGCCAGGACAGGCTGTGACCTTGTGTTACCACACACTTCGTTCTTGGTTTGTTTTTTAATTGAACTAATTCAGCTGGCAAAAAATATTGTTTACCTAGGCTGTAGTCTTTGCTGGTTTCAAAGGCTGAGAGCCACCTTCTGCCTTCCAACTGGGGAGCGTGAAGCAGTGTCAAGACTTGCTATGGTTAGAAAATCAAATTGTTTGAAGACCTGTGGGGATCAGAGAAAGCCTGCAGGAAAGCAACAAGAGGAGTCAGAGACCTACAACATATGACCTGCCCAATTAAAAAGTAAAAGTTTAAAAAAAGTTGGATGGCTTCTTAGCCTCAGGTAAATGAACGCTATTGCCAAGAGTAAGGTATAGTCTGTCCTCCACAGGAAAGCTGTAAGGAACAAGAACAGGCTTCAGTTGCTGTGGGAAAGACGTACTAGCACAAGGAATACGGTGCTGCTGGTAAGGCTAGGGAAGCACTGACATAGACTGCGTGGGGAGTTCGCTGAGTCCCCACCGTGGGAGGTTATCAGGAGTGTATTAGTAGATAAATACAGTGATGTTGATAAAGGCACATCTTCACTGGGGGTGGAGTGTGGACATGATCACTTAGTCTGTCTCTGTCTCTGTAATGTGCTGGTGAGCTAGCCCAGCTTCCTGGGTGCTGAGGATGCACTTCAGGGGCTTCCCTTCATGCTAAGGGTCCAGACAAGTCCAGATGCGCCAGCAGGGAGGATTTCTGGCACTGCCTTGCTCAAAAGGAATTATTTTCTCAGGGAAAATGTTATAAGTCATACATCAGTGTTCTTGACAATGTCTGAAAATACACATTTATTTGTAATCGTAAGTCAAATATTTAAGTATTTATTTTCTTTCCTTAATCCATGCAATTCTGAAGCAGATGAGGGAGAGTTTGCCATTATTAGTTGTGTAGTACAAAGACTAGTGTACAAAATAAAACCAGAAAAATGCACATAAGTAGAAATGTCAACATGTTGCCCCAGAGCAACATGTATTTACATCATTTGGAAAGCTGTTCAGAGGCAATGTTGTTTGCTACATGTACTTTTATCAGATAACCAGGAGTTGTAGTTGGTATTTAAGTACTATGAACATCTGTTTCTGGTTATCAAAGAAAAACCCTGGGTCAACCACAGATTGGGAGGGCATGTTTCTGTGAGTTATGTAAACATGTTGCAGACAGCTGCTTGGCTTCAGATAAGAGTGAGCCACTTGCCTCACCTGCTCACAAAGGGCTCTGGCCACACCCCAGGGACAGCTTTATTCATCAAAACAAAACTCGGAGATCACCTGAAGTAAAATAGTTACTTTACATATTTTAGCTTAAGGTGGCAGAACACCTCTGCCTCAAGGCTTACTAAAAATCATGCTGGTTTTTTCCTTCCTCCACTTAGGAAATACAATTCAATACTTTTGAATTTTGTATGCAGCTGGATGTAGATTAGCACCTATTTTAAATTTATTTTGTCATGTCTGTTTAATCACAATAACCTTGTTGTGCTATTTTCAGTGCTTTTTTTGGGACAGAACAGAGCTTTAAACAAGTTCTTATTATTAACCAGCATCAAGACTGAGACACTCATGTATGTTCTTTCTGTTTTTGTCATATCCCTTAGTAAATGTTTTTTCTCTTACCATTTATGTGAAAATGGGAAGTACTACTGTGCCCATGGTACAGATGAGTCAGTAGCACAGAGGAACTTAAAACAATAGCATGAATACTGCATTCTTAATCTTATTTCTTTCAGTATTAAAAGATATCTGGATACAGTAAGATGAATCAATTAAAATATTGTAGTGTTAGTGTCATTACACATCTTATACAAGGATCCTTAAGTGTCCTGTAATACCCATGCATACGTTTAATTGAATATGCTACTGACAGCTTCTGCTAAGAAAACGTTTTTTAATGTGAGAAGATACTAAGATTCAGTGACTTTTACCCATCTCAATTTTACTGAAAAATCCTAGACATTTTTGAAAATTCAGCTCTGTTAAATAAGTGGTAGATGATCTGAATGTAATTCAGTTCCACTTGAAACCCTTTGGAGGACTTCTATGAACATATGTAAGCACATAGATAAATAAGCTTTGACTGTAGGTAACCAAATAAATAATGGAAGCCAAGGCAGTTCTATTTTTTTGGCACTGTTTGCTTAACTTCACCTCCTTCCTCTTATGTTTTAAAATAATACACAAGATACTGTATTCATGCACAAATGCTGCCACTTGTTTGCTAACAGACACCCTATTAGTCTCATACATTATAGGTATCATTGCTTTAAATTGCTAAAGCGAATCTTCTGGTGATCACATGACTTTTTAGTCAGAGCCCTAGGTTTCTGTACATTTCAATAATTTCTTTTGCTTTTTGAGACTCATTTGTGGTCACCCCTTCCCACGTTCGAGTGCGTGTGAAGTAAGTCTCTTGATAGTTTGGCTGATGTTATTGATAACTTCTGGTGTATTCATCATGTTCTTTCAACCACAGCTCTGGTAGCTCTGTTCTTCAGCAGTGAAGAATTCTAGTAATTTTTAACACTGCTAGATTGGGCAACGCATTCTTTCTTGCTCTTTTTCACTTTGTAGCCATTTATATATCTGTTGCAGAGAACCCACAAAATGAAGCTTATTAAACCCATGGAGAGTCCATTCAAATACCAGGCTGGAGTCTTCATCTTCCTTTTACAGAAATGCCTTGCCTGGCCTTACAACAGCTTTATGCACTCGGGATTTTAACACTGTCTCTCCTGCTCTGTTCTTCTGAGTCCCTCTTATGCCTCAGCACAAGCTCTCGTTGCTCTGATGTGGCTTCATTCATACATCATGGCTGTAACAGACAGCCCAAGACATTTTTTATATTTTTATTTGTATTTTTTCCCCCAGTTTAAGAAATGAGAAGAAACACTTGAAAAACTATTTTTGTCATGTTTCACTTCCCCTGTGGCTTTTAAGGTCAGTTCCAGAGTGCGTATTTTGTGTCACTGGTTGCAAGGTTCAGACGTATTCTTCCCTCTTGAGGCCATGACACAAGGGCTGGCTGGTGAGCATAGTGTTCCTCTAGTTCATCCCTCTCCACATGCGGGGGATTATTTCCCCTTCATGTCTCTCAGTGGGTGTTGCAACTGCTGGAGTACCATCTCTGGTTATCTTTTCCTGTTTTGATCTACTTTAAGGAAGTTCTGCTCTAAAAACTTATTACATGAAAGTATCATTCTCATAACTCAACCAAGTGTCTGTTCTGTTTTAAATTCCACCTTACTTGCTGACAGCAGTGGAAAATACAGAGTTATTGTTTTTCTTCTTGTCTTGGAGTCACAGAGGCAAAAGTTTCTATTTGCATTAAGACCTAGTGCAGACGCTGGTCCAGCTCAGCGCTCCCCCAGTCTGTTCCATAACTGTACTGTACTTATGTCTGTGCCCAAGTTCGGGTGTCATCTTTATGCCTCAGGCTTGGCAGAGCAGGGAGGGACAGAGGCTTGGAAGGCTTTCCTCACTCGCAATCCTGAGCTACCGGTGGCTCCTGCAGCTCTGGCCTGGAGTCCTTTCCAGCTTTTCATGCAAGGATGAGTGTGCACTGAAACTGCTTGACACTGCCAGTGAAGGTATGGGTCGTTACATAGCTGCAGTCATTAAAACTGTCGTTTTTGAACTTAGGTATGGAACGTGTGTCAGTTTTTAGACCCCCTACCCCGCACCCCTGTAAGCAGGTAGAATTAACATGACTTAAATTCTTCAGCTGATATTTAGGCAGACATTCTTAACCTGTTACTTGCTGTGACCTGGGAGTTTAATTACCATAGTTCACTTGACCCATGGTAGCTTGTTGAACCCCCTTATGTTGGTCATGTGTGTCTGAACCTGGCTAATAGTTTAAACAATTAATTGCAGAGAAGCAAGGTAAAGGGTTGAACTAACCTGGTTGAAACAATGATAGGGTTCATAACTGTTTATATGAGTTCAGCTAACAGCTTGACCCTGAGCTGCAGTAGTTGAATTCGCAGTATGTTTTTCAACTGATTTGTTTTTTTAATTGGTACGAAAGACTGTGGGTGTTCTTATTTCAAGTTAATTAGGATTACTTGGGTTGAACTTCAGTTAATTAGGAGCAAATTTATGCTAAACTGAATATGTTATGCTTTTGGTGAAATAAGAATCTGTAAGAAAACATGGTCATTCCTGAACCAAGCTGATTTGTGAGAGATGAGATTGTAGTTAAGCATTTATTTCCTAAATCATAAGTATCTCATATTTAACTATGTTTCTGCAAAAACAAACTGCTCTGGTCCTTTTTCAAGTATGTGTTTATTCCAAAATTTTGTAAAATACTAAAAAGTAATACACCTTCTAATTTCCAAAGTCATCTTCCCTTGGTCTCCCAGTGCCTTCATCTGTAGGAAGTTATTAAGCTCTATCACTGTAGTATTTCTGTGTCATACTGTAACCAAGATTTGAACTCTGTCCTAACAGCTTTGCTCTAACTCCATCACAGAGCATGGGAAATTACTTTTGTCTGACACTGTCTACCCTCTGCTTTTTGCTGTATGCTGTGTACCATCTGTATTACTATTAGATAAACTCCATATGAGCAGTGAGTGTTGGGTTTTATCTCTGCATTTTTCTGTCAACCCAGAAAGAACATTCTTCGATTCTTGGATGCTGAAAGAGATGTCTCAGTGGTCAAAAGCAGCTTCAAGCCAGGAGATGTAATTCATTACGTACTGGACAGACGTCGCACCCTAAACATTTCTCAGGATTTGCACAGCCTTCTCCCTGAAGTTTCCCCAATGAAGAATCGCCGATTTAAAACCTGTGCAGTTGTTGGGAATTCTGGCATCCTTCTGGACAGTGGATGTGGGAAAGAGATTGATAGCCATGACTTTGTAATAAGGTGAGTTTTCATCTGCTGTCGAAGATACAGCCTGCTATGTTTCTTGGAGAAAAGCTGGCAGAAGTGTTTTAATCTGAGAGATAGATTTCGGGCATTATGTGAGAGTAATCTGAAACAGTATCCTTTGCTGTGTGATTCCCCAGTTTTAAATACGTGCCCATAATGTTGTCAAGAAGATTATTTTGACAGTGAAAATAAAACAAGGGCCAGAGGAGAAAGGTTTGTGCTTCTTATTTTGCTCTTTGTTGGTTTTATTCCAGACAAAATAAATAATTTTTCTGGGGGAGGCCTTGGTAGAATAAATGCATAGTGTTTTCTCTTTCAAAAATACACTTTTTAGTTCTCAGCCAATAAAGATGGGCTGTTGTAAACTCCTACATTACTTAGGTGCAGCATGGGGTAACATTTCAGTGTGATGTGTTGATGTTGAATCAGATGGCTGCCATTAAGGTAATTGGAAGTCACACATGTAATCCCTTCACACTGCTCTAAAAATGTGTCCCTGCTGTTTGGGTAAAAATGTTGATATGTGTTACTTTTTATTCATTCAAACATGCACAATAGCATACCATTGGACTTCACATATCAGTCAGAAATGGTGTATCCCTGGATGGGAATATTACATCCATTTAAAGTAAATAACAATGAATTTATTTGTATTTTGAGCTAAAGGAAAAGGCAAATTATTCTTCAGAGTTATAGTTTCCTACATTCCTCTTCTTACATCTTAAAAATGTTTTACATGTCATGGTTTGTAATCATGTGATCTAATGGTACCAGCATACTTGGTTACCACTCACCTGTACTGCTGTTAGGATTCTGGTACTACAATGTACCATGACACTCTGTTCCTCTCCTTGCTTTTAGCTGATTTCTCTAGAAGTAAAATGCACTCTTCTACTCATCACCTGATGGTGTTCTGAAAAACAGTTACTGTATGTACTTTATGCAGCTAGGTGTATAGGCTGACGAGCAACACTTCTATAGAATCTCCTGATGCTAAGTACATTATGCCTATGTGCTGTGACAAGTATGTCATACCATTTTGGTTAAATATATTATCCTGTTGATTTTGATAGTACTGTGTGTTTTTTCTAAGATCTGAAACAAAAGTGTTTTTGGGAGAGTTGTTCCTTATTGCAGCAGTTGTAATGTTAGATCTAAACCCAACAATACTATTAATTTAATGAAAAAAACTTAAAGATCTGTGGAAGCAGACACAACAGACATCCAGCAGTATTTGCATTACATTAAAATAAACGCAATATCCTGAATTTCAGTGCTTCTATAAAGGTGGTGTGAAGATGTTAGTAACAGCTGATAAAGAGATAGAAGATACGCTTTATAAGGGTAAAGAAGAATGTTAGTATCTAGCACTTAAATTAGATTCGATAATATCTGTCAATGTCCTTCAAAGTCATCCAAAGTTACTAATAACCGTCCATCTTCCTTTGGAAAATTCCAGCATATTTAGTGCCTTCTTTATAACAATGCCTCTCAAAGAACATTGATCTGACAGAGACACCAGATAATTAGAATACTTTTAGTATGAAAAAGGTTCAAAAATAGGCACCTAGAGTCAAATAATGTGTCCCTACAAGCTAGCATATAGTTCTGTCAGCAAATTTTACAAGTAGAATAATACAATTCTTCTTTAGGCATCTCTGAAAGTGCACAAATAAGGATAATTTTTGCAAACTAGATAGTATCTTGTTGGCATAAGCAGATTTACTGTATTTACTGAACTTTTGGCTTGATTTTAATTACTTGCTGACATAAGGCCATATTTTATTCTCACAGCATCAGAAACTGTATCAGCTTTTGTGTTTAAATATGTATTTAATACACCTTGCTTGGAGCATAACCATTGTGTCAGTAGAACTGGATGCTCAGAACCAGCAGGTCTGTTGAAAGCAAAATTGGCAATTTAACAGACATTAAAAAAACCATGGTTCTTCCCTTATAACATCTGAATACATCATGACTAGCTCATTAGACCTTTTCCATCTTTCAAATGTGGCAAATCCATTTTTATCCTCTGTCTCCTCCTACAAACTGTTACTCTACATTAAAACATTAAATGAAATCAGAAGAAAGCCAGAAAGACATCATCTTCAGGCGTTCTAGCTCAGTGACTAATCTGCCTGAGAAAGGGGGAGAACCAGTGTAACTTTGGTGTTTCCAGTCAAGTTAGATATGGGTGGCTTCCATCTTAGGAGAACCTTGGAGAAAGCCAGACTTCTTGTGGCCACATTTTCCCTTTTCTGGCTTCACCTTACGACTTCTTCAGGTGCTGGAACGTTCGTTGCCTGACCACTACTCCAGGCAGTCCACCATGGTGCGACAGCTGATACAGAGATGTCTTATGAAGCTGAATCTCTTACTCAGTCAGTACGTAGCACCTGGTGCTACCTATGCTGGCTGGTGGGTCACAGTACTGTGTGTCCTCCATAAGCATTTATAATTCCAAATTTGGGGCAGCCTCTTTTTTTTTTTTTTTTAAGGGGGGTAATTCCTAAATAGGTGATATGGGAGGAAGTTTAAGATCATAAGTTTAGAAGGCTGAGGAAACATCAGTATGAAGTGACTTTTGTAAACCCATATACAAATGATCAAAGATTCTGTTCAAAGTGGTTTCTGAAATACATAGGTGTCCTATGACCATCCAGATGTAGAAAACGCAGGGTGGCCTGACTCTTTCTATAATTATCCTGAGATAAAAGGATAAAATTCTCCTAAAGTTGCTTACTCCTTTTGTTGATAATACAGAGCTTTCAATTTAGTAGTTTTCTGATCAGTTTGAAATGCAGGAAGGCTTCACTAATCCATTTGTTCATTGACTGACTGTTTCGATTAAGAAGTGTGACAATGTTCAGAACAGCCTTAGTCTAAATGTTGCCATTTTTGCTGTTCTCCATTTTTCAGTGCTCAGACTACTGCTTTTTTCTACATTCCAAACTGATGAACCCAGACTATTTCTACATAGCAATGAAAACGATCATTTTGACTTAATTTATTGCCAGGATAATAAACATTTTTTAATCCTTTCTGTCCTCATGGTGTTACGGAACTGTTCTAAATTTTTCTGTATTAGAATAGTAACACTTCTGTAGTATTTTGATAATTGCCCTATGGAATATGCCTTTAGAGACAGTAATGTGTAAAGGTATTTCATATTAAAAGGCAAAGATACAGGTATTCAGGAAACTACTAAGTTCCATTTCTCAGGTTTTCTTACAGTGAAATGTATTTCTCAGTATTTCACTACTGTAGGGTTTGGGGTTTTTTTATTTTTATTTTTCATAGGCAACAAACTTCCAGTGATAGAAATTCCTTTCTTTATTTTGATGTCAAAATCAGGGTATTGGAATGAACAGTAAAAGTCTATAATTCATGGGTAATGTTGCAGCAAGAGCTCACAATAAAGATATAGATAATGTGTTTTGTCACTGCTTCTAAACACCACTTAGACCTTTTCTATAGCTTCACTGTGTTGTTATTAGTGGGTGATGTTGCAAAAATGGATCTTCTAACTAAAGTGAAATCAGTCTAAAATTCAGGATTCTTGAGAACTTGTGTTATAAATGGAGATATCAGGTCAATAACGTTGTATTTTACATGTCATATCTTAAAAGACAGCTGTGATTCCCGTGTGTGAATAGAATCCATAATTATGCTCTACCTGAGCCTGCACACAGCTTTCAGCTTTCATGAGATCTTCTCTGTGTTATATCAAGGTTTTTATTAGGAGCCAAACAAGTATACAGAACATGTGAGAATTCATCCACTTTACTAATCATTAGATTCAGCAGGGGAGATAAGAGGTTTGTGCATGTCATTTTTGGGGTATATGTGTATGTGAAAGTTACCACAGTGCTGCTGCACACCTTTATTTGAAGAACCCAGGGAAAGGATGTGCTACATATACACAGCTACTGGGGTGATGTGCTCCTTGCAAGTGGACTGGGTGCTCCAACTGTTAGTTTGTCGGGTGTCTTGAACTGTGGTTGAGCCTAGAATTTTACTTTCACATCCAAGTGTTTCTTAAAATGTCAAGAATCTTTGAATTCAAGACTGCTTGATTCTTACAGGAATCTGGATATGAACCTGAACATAAAAGCTATTCAGGAAA